TAAATTTAAAGTCAATCGGATATTAACTTTAGCCTCTAGAGAATTTACAAGATTTTTTGAAGTGATCAAGGGCCATAACTCTGGCAGTAATTATCGAAAATGGCTGAAAATGAATAAACTTCTTCGTCTCATGACCTTAAACACTGTGTATAAATTTAAACTCAATCGGATATTAACTTTGGCCTCTAGAGCGTCCATAAGATTTTTTGAAGTGATCAAGGGCCATAACTCTAGTAGTTATCAGAAATCGCTGAAAATCAATAGCCTTCTTCGTCTCATGACCTTAAACACTGTGTATAAATTTAAAGTCAATCAGATATTAACTTTAGCCTCTAGAGCGTCCACAAGCAATTGTGGACACCGGACCGACGGATCGCCGGACGGACGGACGGGGGCGACGACAATATACGACCACATTTCAATGTGGGCGTATAAAAAACCAGGAATGGTAGCTACCACATTGTTTTCGGTCACTGAAGACTACATGCGTACTTCATGTTTTATCCAGATTTAAATGGTGCTATTATTCATTTTCACTTGCAGTGAATGTATTTTTTAAAGAAATAACTTGACTAACTTTATTCTTTTATATTTGATATTATATTAGGTTAAGTGTTAATGACTTTAATCCCACGGTGTCCCCATTTAAACAATATAACATTAGAAAAAAAATGTTCCACTTCACTAAATCCCTACATTTTAATAATATGGGGAATCGGTTCCAAAAATTACTAATGGATTTTCATTTTTATATCATATCTGACCTTCAAAAACCAGGAATGGTAGCTACCACATTGTTTTCGGTCACTGAAGACTACATGCGTACTTGTCACTTGCAATCATTCATCCAAGCACGTAGCATGCAATAGCCTCACTCATAGGTATAGCGACTGATTGACAAACAGTATTTATTATAAACCTCGGCACTCTATACACAAAGTCTCAAAAGGAAACAGAATAGTTTGTTGTCATGAAATAATATTAAAATAGACAGGAGAGTAAAATCGTTTACATTATCACTCGAGCGATGCCGGGGGGGGGGGGGGAGGGGGGGGGAGGGCTTCAAAGTTGACGACATACATACGGGTCATTGGTACTACAGCATGGCAATAGTGAAAACTGAAAGGAACATGTGTAGTAAATTCTTTGGAAATATAGCCGACATGTTAAATAGTCAAACTCATTTCTCATTTTGTGTTTGAAAATCCAAAGGTACGTTTTCAAAATTTATGGCATAACCAATCATTTAAAGAATTAGGAGTGAGGGGCATTTTTAAATCAACGTGCTTGCAACTGGTCAATAGCCTACGTGTTGTCAAAATACGTGGCCTGCATATATATCCTAATTGTACATAACACCCCAAATCAATATGTATCCGATAACTCGTCTGCGATATCACTTCGGTGGAAGCGAGCATTAAATAAAGCTATTTCACACACACACATATCCGAAAAATACTGGGGGGTTGGATGGCTGAATGGTTAGCGTGCGCATGCTGTATCATAAAGTCTGTCATTGAGTCGACTGGCGTGGTTTCGAATCCCTGGTTGTACGTGACAAGGAGTAGGGTCGCCTGTCCAACCTCGTGGGTTTTCTCCGGGTCCTCCGGTTTCCTCCCACTGCTAAAGACCCCTACGCGCAAGCGAATTATTGAAAAAAATTAAACCATATGTTAGTCCCAAAATGACCTAGTTTGTGTCGAGTGGACGTTAAACCCCATTTCTCTCTCTCTCCAAAAAATACTAGACATTGCTAACTCTGTTTCTGATCGCACGTTGTTATAGCACTCGACAAACCTCGGCAGATTCCGTTACTCTACATCTAGCTTCGGCTGTATGACAGTAAGTGATGCGGCACCGGTTTACTTATTAGGAAAATTTGCCGGTTTTAAATAGAAGTTATCAAAATAGCGTCGTTCGAAGCGTCTTTAGAATTTTCAGAGCAAAGTTGTCCTTGTTTGAAGAAAATCTGATAAACTTGAAAGAAAAACAGATTCAGACTTGAACATACTGGTATGAAAAAACTGGAATCTGCTGCGGTTAGCCAAGTGGCGTTATAGTACGATAACTGAAAAGGAAGTAGAAATCTTGCGAGACGCGTGAAACAATGAAATGAATACGTGAAAAATTTCACAATCTTGATATACCAGATGTTTACACCATTTGCAAACAAGGGGCAAAATTTTGTCCGAGTTTTTGTCTGATTTTCACAAAATTCAAACTCAACCATCATTAGGGTGTAACGGTGATGTACTAAAAAGGTTTTTGAAATCTGATAAAAATTTTGACCTATAGATGGACCACAAGCTAAAAGCGCGATTTTTTGTACAATCAGGGGCCATAATTCAGGAAGTTACGATCTGATATGCGCGAATATCGAAAGGAACCAAGATCTTTAAGATACAAACATGCATTCCAAGTTTCATCAAAATCAGATGAAAATTGTGACCTCTAGAGGGTCCAAAACCTTTATATACATTTTTTTAAATCGAATAAAAACTGTGACCTCTAGAGGGACCACAAGCTAAAAGAGTGAATATCGAAATGAACCAAGATTTTCGGGTTATAAACATGCATTTCATATATCATCAAAATCCGATCAAGCTAAAAACATGATTTTTTGTACAATCAGGGGCCATAATCCATGAAGTTATGGTCCGATACATGCCAATATCGAAAAGAACCGAGATTAGTCAAATTGATCCACTCTGAACAGTGATTTTAGCGATTGAATTTTCGGCGTAGCCTCGGTCATCATTACTAAAGTTGGTACGATAAAAACAGTCTCGATTATCCATTTCATGATAATGTCTAATTAATAATTTAAATAACATTGCAGGCCTAAAAAAGACCTGCAATAGGCAGATTTAGCTCTTACATAATGTATGTTTGGGTGATAATTGACATGGAATGACCCAAATCACACATTTTGAAAAAAATAAAAAAAATATTGAGATGGCATGCAACAAGAATGGCTTTAACATATGTTGGAGACATTCGTACAAGATATATTCACACAAAGTTTCAGAATTTTAGGTGCTGATCTACCGGGTTCTTTCCGCTCGAAAATACGAGGCAATTTTGGAAAATTTTGGGTCTAAAACCATATTTGAGGCCAATTTTCTGGGAATCTAGTGAAGACTGATGCGTTCTCATATGTTTCTTATGTAGTACTACCAGCAATCTCTGGATAGGCCAAAATATGGGTCTATATCTATTACCTTGTAGCTCCTGAAGCACTACAAAATCCAGAAAATATACAATTACACTAAATCAAATTGTTTTTGGTTTTCATGGCCAAGTAGCATGCAAACAATACCACTCACTTGTCATCTGATTGCAGATTCGTAATCTACACACAAAGTTCTCTAACACTACAAAATTTGGTCTGTATATTTTTACTAGAAAGGTAAAGATAGGTTGCCAGGAAACGAAACATACGCCCACAGCAGCTATATCGTCCGGGCAGTCAACAAGTAATGAAACATTTATAATACATTAAAATCTGATTAAGAGTAACAACTCATTAAGTAATTATCAGAAAAACTTCAGAATTTGTTTGGTTTTTATAAAGTTCTGCCCCATGCTAACGTTTAGTATACAAAACTTTTAACATCATGGATTTAGCTGTTCAAGTCATAAAGCTTCATTGAAAATCAATATACTGGTTCGTCTCAAGACCTTAAACACTGTGTATAAATTTAAAGTCAATCGAATATTAACTTTAGCCTCTAGAGCGTCCACAAGATTTTTCAAAGTGATCAAGGGCCATAAATCTGGCAAAAATTATCGGAAATCGCTGAAAATCAATAGAATTCTTCGCCTCATGACCTTAAACACTGTGTATCAATTTAAAGTCAATCGGATATTAACTTTAGCCTTTAGAGCGTCCACAAGATTTTTCAAGGTGATCAAGGGTCATAACTCTGGCAGTAATTATCAGAAATCGCTGAAAATCAATACGCTCTCTTCGTCTTATGACCATAAACACTGTGTATAAATTTAAAGTCAATCGGATATTAATTTTGACCTCTAGAGCATCCACAAGATTTTTTGAAGTGATCAAGGGCCATAACTCTGGTAATAATTATTGGAAATCATTGAAAATCAATAGGCTTCTTCGTCTCATGACCTTAAACACTGTGTATGAATTTGAAGTCAATCGGATATTAACTTGGACCTTTAAAGCGTCCACAAGATTTTTTGAAGTGATCAAGGGCCATAACTCTGGCAGTAATTATCGAAAATCGCTGAAAATCAATAGGCTTCTTCGTCTTGGATATTAACTTTAGCCTATAGAGCGTCCACAAGCAATTAGCCTATAGAGCGTCCACAAGCAATTGTGGACGCCGGACGTAACGACAGACGGACGGATGGGGGCGACAACAATATACAACCACATTTCAATGTGGGCGTATAAAAACAAGATATCTGAAACTCAAGTAAATTATTGATACATGTTTTGTTTCTAAAACTTATCGGTAACTCATGAAACTCAAATGCCTGTATCTCAGTCAATTTTTAAGCTACAGATCATAAATTTTGCCCAGTTTCTAATTTTTGCATATACAATAACATATATTTTTTCCAGATTTTTTTTGAGGTGTTGGGGGGGGGGGGGCTATTTCCTAATTTTATGAAATTGACCCACTTGACATGGAATGACCTGTAAATTAATTCAAAGTTTATTATATGCTCCTGTCAGCGAAACAGATAAAAGTTTTTGGGAATAATTTTTTGTGAAACTTGACGGGATTGTTTGGCTAATCCCAATTTATGCATAGTTATTGCTCATGAATGCTTGAAAGCCTTCAAAATGCTTGTATTCATTACCTGGCAACACTATATGTGTTTATTTTTAAATTACATGACTAAGTAAAACATCTCACCAGTCCCAATTTAGAATATTTGAAAAATATCTCGCCATCTGTGCTTAAAATGTATTATATATGATTGAATTGAATGATAGAAGGAATTGTAGCTGATAAACATCTATTTACCATTATGAGCGATTGTTCTGGTTCTTTCTTCAGCACAATCTGCTGGTATGCCAAATACTTCTATATTTATATATGGATCTGTAACATCTCCTTTGGCTGCAGAACCTTTAGGCTTTGGGAAATTTTGGCCACTTATTATCTGTAATTCAAAATTACCTCACATAATAGTACACTAGCATGATTCAACATCCCTTATTAAAATCAGTTTTTGAGGCATTTAGAGTTCAAATAATTAACCAGCGGCTGCCAGGCAGGATACGCCCACATTTTGCAATAGATGGATAGAGAACAAGTTAAACAAAAAGTGATTTTTCGTACAATCAGGGGCCATAATTCAGGAAGTTACGATTCGATATGTGCAAATATCGAAAGGAATCAAGATCTTTGGGTTGTAAACTTACATTTCAAGTTTCATCAAAATCTGAAGAAAATTGTCACCTCTAGACGGTCCACAACCTTGATATACCATGTTTTTACGCTACAGTAGAACTTGTATTAAGCAAGCACCCAAGGCAAATTTAAAAATGCTTGCTTAATGGAGGTGCTCTTTGACTAGAGGTATCCAATATTGCCCAACCCCTACCACAAAAAATAAAGATATAGATTGCACATATTTTTTTATTCATGTAGTATAACAATAACAATACATGTACTTTTTATCTAGTTGTGAATTCAAAGTAGTCGTGTATACTTTTACCTTCATTTGATAACTGTATCACTTTGGCACATTCTTCAAGTGTCAAAACTTTTCGAGTAGGTGTAAGAACTTTAGGAGGCGTAGTAATATTAGACATATTGATAAACAATGTCTTATCAATTCAGACTCTTTCTTATATATCATCATTGGCTTGGATATGAATAGACTATTGATTAATGGGTAAAATTATCAGCTTGGGGTGTGAGTAAACTTGTTAATAGTGATAGTTAGTTCAAGCCAAGCGAGTAAATCGTGTCAAGATCAGTGACAGTTCAGTCTCGTTTGCTTAAGCGAGAACGTGATTCTCTGAGATTCTCCGAGATTCACTATGTTGTGCACGCTTAATCTAGTCGCGAATTCAAGGTAGTCGCGTATACATGTTTGTTTAGTAATACTGGATCTCTGGCCCCCAACTATTTTAGCGATTACGTGACCACTTTTACCTTCATTTGATAACTGTATCACTTTGACACGTTCTTCAAGAGAGAGAGAGAGAGAGAGAGAAAAATGCGGTTTAACGTCCACTCGACACAAACTAGGTCATTTCGGGACTAACATATGGTTTAATTTTATTTCAATAATTCGCGTGCGCGTAGGGGTCTTTAGCGATGGGAGGAAACCGGAGGACCTGGAGAAAACCCACGAGGTTGGACAGGCGACCCTACTCCTTGTCACGTACAACCGGGGATTCGAAACCACGCCAGTCGACTCAGTGACAGACTTTATGATACAGCACGCTAACCATTCAGCCATCCAACCCCCCGACACGTTCTTCAAGTGTCAAAACTTTTCGAGTAGGTATAAGAACTTTACGAGGCGTAGTAATATTAGACATATTGATAAACAATGTCTTATCAATTCAGACTCTTTCTTATATATCATCATTGGCTTGGATATGAATAGAATATTGATTAATGGTTAAAATTATCAGCTTGGGGTGTGAGTAAACTTGTTAATTAGTGATAGTTAGTTCAAGCCAAGCGAGTAAATCGTGTCAAGAATAGTGACAGTTCAGTCTCGTTCGCTCAAGTGAGAACGTGATTCTCCGAGATTCACTATGATGTGCTCGCTTAATGGATGAAATAGCATGATCTGGGGCTAATATAGATGCCCGTTGCACGCGGTAAACAGGTGCGTGTTTAGTAGTGGTTAAATTACTTAAAAATCGCTCGGGGGTACGAGGGGCGGCCATTTTGTTTGTCAGTTTTGGTCTGATTTTCACGAAATTCAAACTCGACCATTCTTAGGGTGTAACGGTGATATACTAAACATTTATTTAAATCGGATAAAAATTAAGACCTCTATAGGGTCCACAAGGCAAAAACAGGATTTTTTGTACAATCAGGGGCCATAATTCAGGAAGTTACAATCCGATATGCGCGAACATTGAAAGGATCCGAGATCTTTGGGTTATAAACTTACATTACAAGTTTCAACAAAATCAGATAAAAATTGTGACCTCTATAGGGTCCACAAGCTAAAAACGTGATTTTTCGTACAATTAGGGGCCATAATCCATGAAGTTTCGGTCCGATACATGCCAATATCGAAAGCAACCGAGATCTTTTGGAGATAAACCTATATTTCAAGTATATGTCCACATGAATATGTGAGTGCATAAAAATGATTTAGAATTTTGAAAGAAAACATTTTAAACTATTGTTTGGTGATGATAACTGAAAAGCAATAATTTCACCACTGGCTGCCATACATAGCCTATAGTTAAAATAAATGAATGCGACTTCTGACTGATTTTTCTGGCACCAGTCATGTACATTTCTAAAATAAAATTGGAATGTGGGACATATTTCGATGGGGTCTACATCCAATATTGTTTACTATCATAACTTATACTACCATTGTGCCAAATTTGATGATTTTACCACAAACCGCACAATTTAATACCTAATGAAGTTTTGCACAATTCTGCTGGACTGTAACATGCAGATTACAACAAATAATTGTCCTCTTTATAATTTGTAGCATGTAAAATTATAAATACTTATTAGTTGATTCCAGGATAAAACACACTAAATAAACTTGAATAAATACCATCTTTGTTCAATCAAAGTACAAACATGTCTGTACTGTTAATACAATTTGGAGGATATTATTTCAAATCCGTAATTTAATTTGAAAAAGAAACAGCCATTTTCATTCACGGTTTACAGTATGTGACCACAAACTTTTCTTCAAGGATGTGGATTTATATTACTACCAGTGATGGGATTTAACATGTATATTCCGGACTTGTCTGAATTTTTTTTCGAAACGCCCAAAATTGTCCGACCGGGAATATGCCCAATCGGACATCAAGACATGGTGAATAATATTCAAATTCCAAAATTAATATAGTGTACTGAGTGTATAACTACCGTGCAACCCCATTATCGTTGATAATGGGCTGGATTGATTAGGTAATTAAGTGATCGACTATTTATCGTGTTATATCGTCTTACACACCTACCTTGATTAACTACTATTCTGCCTTGATTGGCTGAACTAATTCTTTATCGGACAAGTCATCAAATCAATCCTGAACAGAAGTCATTGCTTCTCCTTTGTCGGACGATATATCAAACCAATAAGAGTGATTAGAAACTTAATCTGATTAACCCGTGATTTCTCCATTGTCTCACGTTTTAATCTCCTTTGTGTCGGACAATAACACGTAGAAATTAGTCATATATGTCACATATCCTGATAGTATATAACACCTCAAATCAACATACATTGTATCCGATAACTTGTCTGTGATATATTTTCGGTGGAAGCCGAAGTTAAATAAAGATATTTCACACACATGGCGCTTATAGAGTTCAGTAATTAAAATGAAAGTACAAATCTCGCGAGACATGTGAAATTAAGAGATGTATACGTGCTGAATCCAATACGCCTGATGTTCGAGAAAAGATTCTATTTTGATAGCATATTGTCGGATTTATGATCATATTTTGAAGGGGGTTTATGTCTTTAAATAAATAAATAAACACGCTAAGAAATGTTGACAAATATTTCGATTGGAATGACGTAAGTAGTTAATTGTTTTAGACGATAGCGCGTGCTACAGTCGAATGCAATTATTTAGAAGTTGGTTACACTCGCTCATTAGGGCGTTGTTAACTACGGTTTACGGCCAAATAAATTTCGGGATGTCATTTTTTTACCTTCCGTATATAAATCGAAACGGAGTATCAGACGAATGTCGGACTTTGCTGAAAAATGTACCGACGCATGACCCGAAAAATACGGTAATTTTGGGGGAGTTTGAAACAGATCGGCAGCAGTCGGCACGCTGCCAATTCTATAGTATTACGATGTCATGTAATTTTGTAGGAATATTATTGACATAAATTTGAATACCGTACGGGTTTTAAACATGAAATATAACGAGGTGCACCAATTTTTTTTTTACATATGAATTTGAATATATTTTGTTGACACATGATTCTTAATTGTGTTTTGAAAACGTCTGCTTAAATTACGGTAAGAGTTATGCCCCTTTATTTTCGGGAAAAAATGTCCGACATGAAATTTTTTGAAATCCCATCACTGATTACTACCCTACAAAACACTCTGATAACACTTGTCCTTTGAGTCATGTGAGTAGGGAGTAGGAAATGCCTGTATGGCGGTATATTAAATTCAAAATTCTAACATGTAGTAATTTCTAAATTAAGACAATGTATAATCCAACTAATTTTTTTGTTCAGGGGGGGTGGGGTAGGTTGGATATGGCTGAATGGTTAGCATGTGTGCGTTGTATCATAAGATCTGTCATTGAGTCAACTGGCGTGATTTCGATTCCCCGGTTGTATGTGACAAGGAGTAGGTTTGCCTGTCCAACCACATGGGTTTTCTCCGGGTCCTCCAGTTTCCTCCTACAGCTAAAAATCCCTACGTCGAACAAATTTAGAATTTTGATACTTCTACCTAGCAACCATCATTATGACGTTGTTTGATGTCGCCACCCTGTACTCAATTTGGCGATTGAGCACCTGATCGGGATCATTATGTTGACACAAACAACTAGCTCTTCGTCAAGTTGAATGGTTTGGTGAAGTGTTACCAGCGGCTGCCAGGCAGGATACGCCCACATTTTCGAGAGATGGATAGAGAACAAGCTAACAAGAAAGTGATTTTTCCTACAATCAAAGGCCATAATTCAGGAAATTACAATTCGATATGTAATTTCAAGTTTCGTCAAAATCGGATAAGAATTGTGACCTGTAGAGTGTCCACAAACAATTGTGGACGGACGGACGGACAGGGGCGACGGCATAATACGGCCACATGAAAATGTGGGCATATAAAAATTGAAAACAACATCAAACGTGATATGGTTTGCAAATACTATTTCAAATACAAGTTAAACAGCATTTGTTAATTTTTTTTTAAGACAAGTGCAGGATTTGGAGAATTTTATTTAGAATATACTCTTC